CTGCAGACGCAATGCAGTCAAATCACTCGGCTTGACGACATCATCAGGGACCCAGGTGCTTCCCTTCATCGTCCTCTGTCTTTGCTCCAGGCTGGCTCCCTTCAGGATCAACAGTGACCACGGCAGTTGCAGGCATTATGGACAAGATGATCCTGTCCAGAGGGAAAGATGGGGCCATTGCATTCTTTATTTTTTTTTACAGTTTTATTGAGATAACGCACATACCATACGACTCTCTCGATGTCTTTGATTCACTGGTTTTGAGTATACTCATAGAGTTGTGTGACCATTACCACCGTCAATTTGAGAACATGTTCATCAGTCCTAAAAGAATTCCCATACTATTATAGTCATTTTCCATTTCCCCCAAGACTTCCCCCAACCCCAGCCACAGGCAACCTCTAATCTACTTTCTGGCGCCGTGTCTTGCTCGGCCTTGGAGGTTTCATGCACATGGAGTCACACAGTATGTAGTCTTTAGGGACTGGCTTTCCACCTGGCTTTATGTTTTTAGTGTTGATCACCATTTCTTTCTTGAATCCCCTGTTTTCAGAAGGAGGTAACTCTCCCTAGAGATTTCTCAGCAGACTTCTCCTAAGGCTGTGGTCTAAACTGAGCTATGGATTGACTCCTAACCTAAGAAATGGCTGAACAAGAATTACTATTGGGGCTGGTGAACTGGCAGAACAAGAATTACTATTGGGGCTGGCACTGTGGCACAGTGGGCTAATGCCCTGGCCTGAAGTGCCAGCATCCCATATGGGCTCTGGTTCAAGACCTGGCTGCTCCACTTTCAGTCCAGCTCTCTGCTGGCCTGGGAAAGCAGTGGAAGATGGCCCAAGTCCTTGGGCCCCTGCACCCGCGCAGGAGACCTGGAAGAAGCTCCTGGCTCCTGGCTTCAGATTAGCGCAGTTCTAGTCATTGCGGCCAGTTGAGGAGTGAACCATCGGATGGAAGATATCTCTCTCTCTCTCTCTCTCTCTCTCTCCTCTCTGTGTAACTCTTTCAAATAAATCTTAAAAAAAAAAAAAGAATTGCTATTAAGGATTATCTTAAAGAGTGCCAACCGAGCCCTCGTACTGGAAGTGGGATTGACCACTTACCTGTGACGTAGGTCCAGGCAGGCAGCGGTGGGGAAGGTGAAGGGTATGCCTGAACAAGAGTTGGTTCCTGTTAGGAAGGGAGGGTGGGGAGTGGGTGTTGGGTAAGGAAGTACAAGGTACACCATACTTTGCCAGTGCAACATAAGAGGTGCAGGTAGAGCAAAGACTCAACAGTGAAAAGGCCCATCCTTACCTGGTTTGCACTGCTGCCACTCTTCCACTCCTCCTCTGTGTTTTGCACCTGTAACGTACAGACTCTGGGGCAGTCTTGACTTGGCAGTGAGCCACTTGTCTTGCAGGAGCCACTGCACACCCTATCCCTGCTATCGAGTCTACCAGCAGGGTTAGCCAAGCTGGCCAGCTGCGAGGGCCTCATGGAAGTGGCAAAGGCAGGGAGGAGTAACCAAGAGGTGAGAACCCCCTGGTGCCCTCTTTGCAGGAAATCAAAGGACAGTTTGGCAGCCACCTTTGCAGTCCCCGCTCTGTGTCGTTGACATATGCAACTGGGAGGGAAAGTCTGAGCCGTGGGTCACTCAACTGTGAAGACGCAGTCTGAGAATTACATCTTTGTGTGAACGTCATAGACCTAGGTGGTGTAGCTCACTGCACTTCTAGGCCATACACGCTTTCTCTATATGGTATAGCCTTCTGCTCCCAGGACCGTGATGAACAAAACATACGAGATCACAAGAGAAAACGATGCGATCAAGAGACACAGTGTGAGGCTGCTGCCAGCATTTACAGTAAATACCTTTTCATAAATAGAAAATCATTCTAACATAATTCTTTAAAAATGTTAAGCACATAAACCAGTGATGTAGTTGTTAGTAACGATCAAGGGTTAGGTCTTGTACATAATTATATGTTGTATAGTTTTATGTAACTGGCAGCAAGGGAGGCTCGTCGGCACCAGCACCACCACAGACAGGAGTGGTGTGTGGTGTTCTGAGGTCACAACATCGCCACGTCGGTAGATGACCGGCATTTTCCAGCTTTGGTTGTGGGACTGCCACCACGGATGCTGTCCTTCACTGGCAGAAATGTCGTTACACAGCAGGTATGTGTACATCGTATATCAGCTGGACTGAGCTGATCTGCAGCCAGGAGCCAGGAGCTTCTTCCAGGTCTCCCGTGTGGGTGCAGGAGCCCAAGGACTTGAGCCATCTTCTGCTGCTTTCCCAGGCCATAGCAGAGAGCTGGATAGGAAGAGGAGCAGCTGGGACATGAACTGGCGCCCCTATGGGATGCTGGCACTTCAGGCCAAGGTTTAGCCCACTACGCCACAGTGCTGGCCCTCATCCTACTTCTAAACAGGCATTTCCCTCTATCATCCTCAATATCAGACTGATCTAATGGGAAGCTACAGAGATTCAAGGATGGCCTGTCGTCATTCTGGGGAGACGCCTCAGATACGGAGCTGTAGGCACGGCTTCCTGGGAGTGACTGGACACCGTCAGCAGTTACTCCTATGCCCTCACGGGAATATGGGTTTATTCTATAAGCAACTGCAGTACATGCTTTCAGTTTGCTCAAAGTGTTACCGATTTGCTTATTAATACGAATATATTAACATATATTAACATATATTCATATTAATAAGCCATGTGGGCTCTTGCCACATATTCAGACAATTCTGAATACTGGCACAAATAGACCAGGCAGCATGTTAAGTTTTAGCTTTTATTCAGTGAGAGCAATGCATAGGAGAGTGAGGGCCCTGTCTAAAAGAGAAAGGGGAATCTCGCTTCTTACTGAGCACCAGTGGTGGACATGCAGGCCCGGAAGCATGCAGCAGGTGGCCCCAAGGCATGGGGGCAGCAAGGGGTGGGGCAGGGAGGGCAAAGGACAAGGCAAAGTGAAGAAAGGGGAAAAGGCAAAGAGGGGCGGGCCCACCGCAGGCACTTCCAAAGGGGAGCGGTTAATTAGCCTGATTGGCAGGTGGGCGTGCAGGTGTGGCCAGTAGGGGCCTGAGACACACAGGGGCGTGGGAAGGCGTGGTCCTCCAGCTCACAAGCCTAATCGACTCCATCCTCTGTGCCTACCACAGAGGCTCTGTACTGAAGGGTGTTGTCCGTCGGTGCAGCCGCAGTACCTGCACAGCAAGTGTTGGATGATGGATGAAGGAAGACGCGGCCAGGTCCTGGCTTGGTCCCCACGCCCACGTGGGGGCTGAGGACGGAATTCAGGGGGTCTGCACTGGCCCTGGCTTCTCTGTCGCTCTTTGGGTCTTTAGAATCTGTTCTCTGCGGCCACAGAGATGTGCCCAGTGTCAGCCAGACCACATCACACACACACACAGCCCAGTGAACCCGCCCCATTGCGCGTGCTGTCCAGGGCCGGAAAATACAACCACTCTCCCCCACCCTCCTGGGTTTGCAGTTGGCCTCGATGCGGTAACAAGAAACAGACGATCAGAGAAAAACAGGCTCGTTCATGAACACGCGCAGGGCACGCGTGGGCGGGGTATCGCTCGCCAAGCCAGGGCTTACCCAGCACCTGGCGGCAGAGGAAAAGGACTTCGACGGACACATGGCAAACAAGCTGTATCAGGGAATTCGGGGGTCCCTTCCGGGGAGAGTGGGGGCAGGTGCGTCCCTGGGACGGAGGGCCGAGCGCCGCTGCACCTGCCGTCCTCAGAGGCAGGCGCCCGCGTTGGGGGCCGGAAGCCCCGGGCGCGGGGCGCTCCTCTCCCGACCTGCCGACCCGCCTCCAGGCCCCGAAAGCAGGGTCGGCCTCGGCAGGCGCGCCGGGACCCAGCGCCGGGCGACACTAGGGCGGAGGGAGGCAGCCCCCGGGGCGGTGGGCCCCGCCGACCCCTACCCCGGCGGCAGCGCCGCGCCCGCACGCGCCAGCGGCGGAACCCGAGGGCGGCGGCCGCGGTTTCCCTCGAGCGAGCGGGGGAATCTTGAGGGAGCGCACAGGAAAGGCAGGGCGAGCGCGGGCCCGGCGCGGGTGAGTGCGGCGGGCCGGGCGCGGGGCGGCGGGGCCGGGCGCGGGGCCGGGGTGCGGGCGGCGGGGAGACCCGGGAGCCGCGGGGCCGGGGTGCGGGCGCGGGTGAGTGCGGCGGGGCCTGGCGCGGGTGAGTGCGGCGGGGCCGGGGTGCGGGCGGCGGGGCGCGGGGCTGGGGTGCGGGCGGCGGGGCCGGGCGCGGGGCTGGGGTGCGGGCGGCGGGGCCGGGCGCGGGACGCGGGGCTGGAGTGCGGGCGGCGGGGCCGGGCGCGGGGATGGGGTGCGGGCGGCGGGGCCGGGCGCGGGGCGCGGGCGGCGCGTGTGCAGGGCTCGCGTCCCAGCGCCGCCGCTCGCCTGCGGGCCGTCGGCTCGGGCAGCGGTGCGGAGTGGGGCCGGGAGTGGCCGCGCGTGGAGGGCGGGAGGTTCCTTCATGCCCGGCGCCTTCCCGGCTCTGGGGGGCCGGCTCCGGGGGGGCGCACACCCCACCTTCCACGGCGGGGGCGGGGGGGCGCCGGGGAGTGGAAGCGCTCTCTGGAACGCAGGAAAAGCTGCCTCTACGATACGGTACCTCGATTTTAGCCAAGATGCATAGCCTCTGATGAGATTGGGGAGCGAACATTGCCCCGGTTACTTTGAAGGGGACATGTGTATGTTACATGATGTCATGTGACATGTATGTTACGTAGCTGAGGATTGCATGTGGTGATGACAAATACAGAAAACGTTACAGGTGCTCTTCCCAGCCCCAGACGGTAACCGGAGCAGGTGTAGGTGGTCAGGGCGGGTGGTGGTCCCTCACTGGTGCAGCCAGAACAGGTGTAGGTGGTCAGGGCAGGTGTAGGTGGTCAGGGCGGGTGGTGGCCCCTCACTGGCGCAGCCAGAGCAGGTGTAGGTGGTCAAGGCGGGTGGTGGTCCCTCACTGGTGCAGCCAGAACAGGTGTAGGTGGTCAGGGCGGGTGGTGGCCCCTCACTGGTGCAGCCAGAACAGGTGTAGGTGGTCAGGGCGGGTGGTGGCCCCTCACTGGCGCAGCCAGAGCAGGTGTAGGTGGTCAGGGCAGGTGGTGGCCCCTCACTGGCGCAGCCAGAACAGGTGTAGGTGGCCAGAACAGGTGTAGGTGGTCAGGGCAGGTGGTGGTCCCTCACTGGTGCAGCCAGAACAGGTGTAGGTGGTCAGGGCGGGTGGTGGTCCCTCACTGGTGCAGCCAGAGCAGGTGTAGGTGGTCAGGGCAGGTGGTGGCCCCTCACTGGCGCAGCCAGAACAGGTGTAGGTGGTCAGGGCAGGTGGTGGTCCCTCACTGGTGCAGCCAGAGCAGGTGTAGGTGGTCAGGGCGGGTGGTGGCCCCTCACTGGTGCAGCCAGAACAGGTGTAGATGGTCAGGGCAGGTGGTGGTCCCTCACTGGTGCAGCCAGAGCAGGTGTAGGTGGTCAGGGCAGGTGGTGGCCCCTCACTGGCGCAGCCAGAACAGGTGTAGGTGGCCAGAACAGGTGTAGGTGGTCAGGGCGGGTGGTGGCCCCTCACTGGTGCAGCCAGAACAGGTGTAGGTGGTCAAGGCGGGTGGTGGCCCCTCTCTGGCGCAGCCAGAACAGGTGTAGGTGGTCAGGGCAGGTGGTGGCCCCTCACTGGCGCAGCCAGAACAGGTGTAGGTGGTCAGGGCGGGTGGTGGCCCCTCACTGGTGCAGCCAGAACAGGTGTAGGTGGTCAAGGCGGGTGGTGGCCCCTCTCTGGCGCAGCCAGAACAGGTGTAGGTGGTCAGGGCGGGTGGTGGCCCCTCACTGGTGCAGCCAGAACAGGTGTAGGTGGTCAGGGCGGGTGGTGGCCCCTCACTGGCGCAGCCAGAGCAGGTGTAGGTGGTCAGGGCAGGTGGTGGCCCCTCACTGGCGCAGCCAGAACAGGTGTAGGTGGCCAGAACAGGTGTAGGTGGTCAGGGCAGGTGGTGGCCCCTCACTGGCGCAGCCAGAACAGGTGTAGGTGGCCAGAACAGGTGTAGGTGGTCAGGGCAGGTGGTGGTCCCTCACTGGTGCAGCCAGAACAGGTGTAGGTGGTCAGGGCGGGTGGTGGTCCCTCACTGGTGCAGCCAGAGCAGGTGTAGGTGGTCAGGGCAGGTGGTGGCCCCTCACTGGCGCAGCCAGAACAGGTGTAGGTGGTCAGGGCAGGTGGTGGTCCCTCACTGGTGCAGCCAGAACAGGTGTAGATGGTCAGGGCAGGTGGTGGTCCCTCACTGGTGCAGCCAGAGCAGGTGTAGGTGGTCAGGGCAGGTGGTGGCCCCTCACTGGCGCAGCCAGAACAGGTGTAGGTGGCCAGAACAGGTGTAGGTGGTCAGGGCGGGTGGTGGCCCCTCACTGGTGCAGCCAGAACAGGTGTAGGTGGTCAAGGCGGGTGGTGGCCCCTCTCTGGCGCAGCCAGAACAGGTGTAGGTGGTCAGGGCAGGTGGTGGCCCCTCACTGGCGCAGCCAGAACAGGTGTAGGTGGTCAGGGCGGGTGGTGGCCCCTCACTGGTGCAGCCAGAACAGGTGTAGGTGGTCAAGGCGGGTGGTGGCCCCTCTCTGGCGCAGCCAGAACAGGTGTAGGTGGTCAGGGCAGGTGGTGGCCCCTCACTGGTGCAGCCAGAACAGGTGTAGATGGTCAGGGCAGGTGGTGGCCCCTCACTGGTGCAGCTGACCACTCTAGCCTTGGAATCCAGGTCCAGGCTGTGGCCTTGCTCCTTCCAATACGTTTTCCTGTAATCCGCAAGCCATTAAGCACTCAAAGCAGGGTTCTGCTAGGTCAGGACTGGCCTTTAGGCAGACTTGTCACCTCTTAGATTGTTCTCCGGCTTGCTGGCATTCTTTTCACTCCATGGTCACGTTGCCTGGTTTTTTTACTTTCAGTTTTTTAGATGTATTTATTTGTTGGGAAGAGTTAACAGAGAGAGAGGGAGAGCCACAGAGAGAGATCTTCCATCTGCTGGTTCACTCCCCAGATGGCCCCAGGGACCCCCGGCTGGGGCAGGCCTAGCCCGGAGCCAGGAGCCTCCTCCACGTCTCCCACTTGGGTGCCTTGCCTGACTGGTATCTGCGATCAAACTTGAGTTCCTTTAGGAGGATGAATACCAAGTCTGTCTGCTACCCAGTTTCTCCTGGCTTCAGGGGCTAAACCCTGACCTGCCGTGGGCATGTCCATTTGGTTGCCCCTCAGGCATCAAACGCAGTGTCTCCTCCAACCTTGCACACTGTCTCCATGCATGCAGTCCAGGTCTAAGGGACTGAAATCTATTCCTGGCTGGGTTCCTCCTCACCGCTTACAGTCAGTGTATCATCACGTGCTTCGAATTTCCATCAGGACCTCCAAATCCTCTCCGTCTTGCTTGTTCCTTCCTTCAGGTACCGCGAGATGATTCAAATAACTTCCCGGGGGCTTCTTGATGTTTATTTCAGCTTCTGCCAGTGCACTTTCCATCCTGCTACTTAGTGATCTTTGTGCAGTTCAAATATGATTGTATTTCATCAAGGAGTTTTCAACATAATAGCCAAAGTGCTTAGTATAGGTCTCTTCCAGTCTTCCTCCCAACCCCTAGTCCCTTATCTGAAAGCCAGTGGTTACTGGTTCTAAAACATCTCCCCACGGCAGTCATGGGCGTGCTTGTTAAAAACGAAGATAACAGCTGAATTCAGAGCACGTGAGATTCTTGTGTGGACGGTTAATGCCCAAGTGTGTATTTTTAACAAGCTCTGCCCTGGACCCTTGCTCTTTAGGGGTTCAGGACGTGCTGCCCCAAAATGTGGTGCCTTGGCGTTTGAGGGACCAGCAGAGGCAAAGCTCACTCTAGGACTTTCTTCATTCATTCCTCCCACGCTCCTCCCCAAAGCTGGCCATCGAAGAATCCTCTGGCCGTTGTGTAAGGCCCTCCTGTAAGGCACCCTGCCTGTACCCAGAGGAAATGGATGCCCTTCTCGCTGAAAGCAGAATCCAAACCAACAGGCCTTGCTGACTTGCCATGTTTATTACTTTTAGGTCATAGCTTCTGCCACTCTTATCAAACAGCATAAAAGCACACATTTCTGTTTCATTGAGTCTTCGTTTCTGAAGACTCCTGTGTCACGTAGAACTTGCATTAAATATATTTATATATTTTCTTAAGCCGTCTTTTGCTGTAGGGGTCTCAGCCGTGAACCTAGTGTTGGGTGAGGAAAAAGCCTCCTGCCCCAACACTGCCTCGTGTGTGTCTGAGCACGCCTTCCTGTTTGTCCTGCCCTGTGTGCGTCTTAGTTGGGGCTGCTTTAACAAGATACCATAGACTGGTGGCCTAAGCAGTGGCTGTTTATTTGTCCTAGTTCTGGTGGTGCGAAGTCTGAAGTCAGGGTGCTTGGTAATGGCTCTCTCTCTCCTTGCCGTATCCTCATGAGAGAGGATGAGTGCATAGATCTAGGGATCAGGGCTTTAACGTAAGGACGGGGCCACGCAGGTTTGCAGCATAGAATACACGCAGCTCCTCTCTTGTTCGTGATGACTCGGAAGCCGCCCCTGACCATGCCCCACCCCTGATGCCCAGACAAGGTGAGCTCTGGTCTTGTAGGCTCGCACTGAGCCCGTGCTCCCCACCTGGCATTCACCTGCCTGTGTTGCAGCCATAACTGTGACAGGTGTGACTCTGTCCTGGTGCCCGGCACAGGGCCTAGCACGCAGGTGCTTTGAAAGGCCTCTGGGATGAGGGAGTGCTTCAGAGCCAGATGGAGGGAGTCGAGGAATTCGGTGAGCCTTGGGAGCCTCGGTACCAGCCCGGCTGGCAGGCAGACTCACAGGAGGGCGGGCTCCCTGGCACTGGCTTCATTGCTCCTGGTGATGCCTTGTGTTTTAAAGAGTATTTGAGAGGAAGAGTTAGACAGAGATGGAGGGAGAGACAAGGAGAAAGGTCTTCCACCTGCTAGTTTACTCCCCAAATGGCTGCAACGGCCGGAGGTCAGCCGATCCAAAGCCAGGAGCCAGGAGCTTCTTCTGGGTCTCCCACGCAGGTGCAGAGGCCCAAGCATCTGGGCCATCTTCTACTGCTTTCCCAGGCCACAGCAGAGAGCTGGATCGGAAGTGGAGCACCTGGGACTTGAACCGGCGCCCATATGGGATGCTGGCACTGCAGGCAGAGGCTTAGCCCACTATGCCACAGTGTCGGCCCTGATGTTTCTTACCTTAAGAGGAATTTTAAACAAAGGAGGCTAAGAGTGAGACCTTTTGGTGGAAGTAGCATGGTTTTTTATTTTTATTTTTTTTGTCTATTTACATTGCACACAGTCACAGGAGATTTTGTTTAACGTACATATTTAGCAAGTAATTACTATTCATCTTAGAAAACTTAGAAAACACATTGCAATTAAAATGTAAAATAAATAATAATAAAATACCATTAACTGTCCCCAACTTGGAAATACTTTAAGATTTTGTTTGTGATTATTTCTATTGGTATTTTTTTTAACTTACAATCTTTTTTTTAAAAAAATTTATTTTTATTTGAAAGACAGAGTTACAGAGAGAGAGGTCTTCCATCTGTTGGTTCACTCCCCAGATGGCCACAACAGCTGGAGCTGCGCCGATCCAGAGCCAGGAGCTTCTTCCGAGTCTCCCACAGGGGTGCAGGGGCCCAAGGACTTGGGCCATCTTCTCCTGCTATCCCAGGCCATAGCAGAGAGCTGGATCGGAAGAGGAGCAGCCGGGACTAGAACCGGCGCCCATATGGGATGTCGGCGCTTCAGGCCAGGGTGTTAACCCACTATACCACAGCGCCAGTACAATCATTTTTTTAAATAAGAGTCATCTCCCTTAAAATTTTTTATTTATTTATTTGAAAGGCAGAGCGACAGAGTGATTGGTTGATTGGTTGATTTTGTGACTACTGGTTCTCTCTGTGGTTAGGTCTGGGCCAAGCTGAAGCCGGTAGCCGGGTAACTGCATCCTGGCCTCCCACGTGGGTTGCAGGGACTCAAGCACGTGGGCCTTCATCCGCTGCCCTCACAGGTGTATTAGCAGGGAGCTGGATCGGAAGCAGAGAGGTCAGGACTTGAAATGGCACTTGGGTGTGGATGCCAGCATCTCAAGTGGTGGCTCCACCCACTGTGTCACACACTGGTCCTTTGCACTCATTTTATTTTTTTAAAGATTGACTTATTTGAAAGGCAGAGTGACAAGGAGGGACTCTTTCATCTGCTGGCTTACTGCCCAGATGGCTGCAACTGTTGAGGTTAGACCAGGCTGAAGCCACCTGCCAGGAATTCTCTCTGGGTCTCTCATGTGGCTGTCGGGCTCAAGTTCTTGGGCCGTCTGCTGCCTGCCCAGGTCGTTAGCCGGGAGCTGGGTTAGAACAGAGCAATGTCGCCCCCACTCCCTTTTAACTTGATTGAAATATTACCAGTTACGTTTATTGTCTTGTCTATTTTACTTGATATTTTGAGGTTTTTCTGTCATGAAGAAAAACATAGATACTGTACACATCATCCCCTTTTTCGTAAAGTTGTGCTAATTTACCTTTTAGAAATGTGTGAGTGAGAAGCTGGTGCTTGGTGTAGCGGGTAAAGCTGCTGCCTGCAGCGTTGGCATCCCGTATGGGTGCCGGTTCGGATCCCGGCTGCTCCACTTCCGATCCGGCTCTCTGCTGTGGCCTGGGAAAGCAGTAGAAGATGGCTGAAGTCCTTGGGCCCCTGCACCCGTGTGGGAGACCTGGAAGAGGCTTCTGGTTTCTGGTTGGTGCAGCTCCGGCTATTGCAGCCAACTGGGGAGTGAACCAGCGGATGGAAGACATCTCTCTCTCTCTCTCTCTCTCTCTCTCTCTCTCTCTCTCTCTCTCTCTCTTCTCCTTCTCTCTCTGCGTAACTCTGACTTTCAAATAAATAAATTTTAAAGAAAAGGGTGGTGAGTGTTTCCCTCATTTTATTTCGTCAGCAGTAAAAACCATCTACACAGCCTGTTCCGTGGGAGTGCTGCGAGTTCTTTGTCATCTGCATGCCTTCGAGCACTCAGGAGGCTGCACGTCTTCACCTCACCGTGTGCTGCTCCCCTGCCGTGAGTCTCCCTGTCCAGGGCCCAGTGCATGCCAGCATTTGGAGAAGCCCTTTACCTCGCTCGTGCGTTGTTGGGTCCCTTATTTGCAAGGACCAGCATGGAAGGATGGCAGAGTGAGACTCTAAGCAGGAACAGCAGAGGAAGCTGGGTTCCCTCTCTCCTGCCTTCCCCTCTAATGCAGTAAGGAAAAGCTGACCAGACCAGGGAGAAGGGGAGTGTCGGTGGGCTGCTGTGGAGGTGAGGATGAGGCCAGAGAAGTGATAAGAAGGAAGAGGAGCGGGGACGGGCAGCGGGAGTGAGAGAGGATGAAGGAGTGGACCACAGAGTCCCAGGGGTGCTCTATGTGCCTTGAATAATTACTTTTTTTTTCTTTTTCTCTCTCTAACCTAGCAAGTCCTTAGGAGAAGATGACTGTGTTCTTTAAAACACTTCGAAATCATTGGAAGAAAACTACAGCTGGGCTGTGCCTGCTGACGTGGGGAGGCCACTGGCTCTATGGAAAACACTGGTAAGTGTCTGGGAGCCCCCCCACCTTCTCCCCCAGCCCCCAGCAGCAGAACTGCCAGACAGTGCCTGAGCGTCAGTCGTGTCCAGCTGGGCTTGTCACTGAAATGCCGCATACGAGAAGCCCAAAGACAGAGGCTTCTCGTTGTGAGCGGTTCCGCCTCATCGCCCCGTACGCAGCTGTTACTCCCCTGCTGAGGGGGGCTCTGGCAGCAGGGGAAGGAAGCTGCCTTTACTCCTTCGATTACTGGGAGTCGGGGGTCTCCTGGATGTTACTGCGTCCGTCTCTCACTGCAGCCTCGTTCCCCTGCCTGGCCCTGCCCGGCCCTGCCCTGCCACGTCTCTCACTGCAGCCTTGTTCCCCTGACTGCCCCTGCCCTGCCCTGCCCTGCCTCTCACTGCAGCCTCGTTCCCCTGCCTGGCCCTGCCCTGCCCTGCCGTGTCTCACTGCAGCCTCGTTCCCCTGCCCGGCCCTGCCCTGCCCTGCCCTGCCTCTCACTGCAGCCTAGTTCCCCTGCCTGGCCCTGCCCTGCCCTGCCGTGTCTCACTGCAGCCTCGTTCCCCTGCCCGGCCCTGCCCTGCCCTGCCCTGCCTCTCACTGCAGCCTAGTTCCCCTGCCTGGCCCTGCCCTGCCCTGCCGTGTCTCACTGCAGCCTCGTTCCCCTGCCCGGCCCTGCCCTGCCCTGCCCTGCCTCTCACTGCAGCCTCGTTCCCCTGCCCAGCCTGGCCCTGCCCTGCCCTGCCGTGTCTCACTGCAGCCTCGTTCCCCTGCCCAGCCCTGCCCTGCCCTGCGCTGCCTCTCACTGCAGCCTCGTTCCCCTGCCCAGCCCTGCCCTGCCCTGCCGTGTCTCACTGCAGCCTAGTTCCCCTGCCTGGCCCTGCCCTGCCCTGCCCTGCCGTGTCTCACTGCAGCCTAGTTCCCCTGCCTGGCCCTGCCCTGCCCTGCTGTGTCTCACTGCAGCCTCATTCCCCTGCCCAGCCTGGCCCTGCCCTGCTGCGTCTCTCTCTGCAGCCTCATTCCCCTGCCTGCCCCTGCCCTGCCCTGCCGCGTCTCTCTCTGCAGCCTCGTTCCCCTGCCTGCCCCTGCCCTGCCCTGCCGCGTCTCTCTCTGCAGCCTCATTCCCCTGCCTGCCCCTGCCCTGCCCTGCCGCGTCTCTCTCTGCAGCCTCGTTCCCCTGCCTGCCCCTGCCCTGCCCTGCTGCGTCTCTCACTGCAGCCTCGTTCCCCTGCCTGCCCCTGCCCTGCCCTGCCGCGTCTCTCCCCTGTGACTGGCTCCAAGCATCCTCTAAGCCTAGGGTAATTGAAACAAGACAGGACTTTAGCCGTCTGTCTGAATAAGAAATTCCGAGGACTCATGGTGTTAGTATTAGCCTTCCGGCACGGAAGGAGAAAGGCCAGAGCTCCTCTTTTGGTTTAATGTGATAATAAGATTTAAGTAGAGAAACTTTTCAGAGTTACACAAATCATTGAGACAGCCAATCACACTGCCGTCTTTCAGGGGTTAGGACTTTGTTTCAAGAGCACAGCAACACTGAAATGCAGGTGTGTGAGATGCAGGTGTGTGAGATGCGGGTGTGTGAGATGCGGGTGTGTGAGATGCGGGTGTGTGAGATGCAGGTGTGTGAGATGCGGGTGTGTGAGATGCAGGTGTGTGAGATGCGGGTGTGTGAGATGCGGGTGCGTGAGATGCAGGTGTGTGAGATGCGGGTGTGTGAGATGCGGGTGCGTGAGATGCGGGTGTGTGAGATGCAGGTGTGTGAGATGCGGGTGTGTGACATGCGGGTGTGTGAGATGCAGGTGCGTGAGATGCGGGTGCGTGAGATGCGGGTGTGTGAGATGCGGGTGTGTGAGATGCAGGTGTGTGAGATGCGGGTGTGTGAGATGCGGGTGTGAGATGCGGGTGTGTGAGATGCGGGTGTGTGAGATACAGGTGTGTGAGATGCGGGTGCGTGAGATGCGGGTGCGTGAGATGCGGGTGTGTGAGATGCGGGTGTGTGAGATGCGGGTGTGTGAGATGCAGGTGTGTGAGATGCAGGTGTGAGATGCAGGTGTGTGAGATGCGGGTGTGTGACATGCGGGTGTGTGACATGCGGGTGTGTGAGATGCAGGTGTGAGATGCGGGTGCGTGAGATGCGGGTGCGTGAGATGCGGGTGCGTGAGATGCGGGTGCGTGAGATGCGGGTGCGTGAGATGCGGGTGCGTGAGATGCGGGTGCGTGAGATGCGGGTGTGTGAGATGCAGGTGTGAGATGCGGGTGCGTGAGATGCGGGTGCGTGAGATGCGGGTGCGTGAGATGCGGGTGCGTGAGATGCGGGTGTGTGAGATGCAGGTGTGAGATGCGGGTGCGTGAGATGCGGTGCGGAGATGCGGGTGCGTGAGATGCGGGTGCGTGAGATGCGGGTGCGTGAGATGCGGGTGCGTGAGATGCGGGTGCGTGAGATGCAGGTGTGAGATGCGGGTGTGTGAGATGCGGGTGTGTGAGATGCAGGTGTGAGATGCAGGTGCGTGAGATGCGGGTGCGTGAGATGCGGGTGTGTGAGATGCAGGTGTGAGATGCGGGTGTGTGAGATGCAGGTGCGTGAGATGCGGGTGTGTGAGATGCGGGTGTGTGAGATGCAGGTGTGAGATGCGGGTGCGTGAGATGCGGGTGTGTGAGATGCGGGTGTGTGAGATGCAGGTGTGAGATGCGGGTGCGTGAGATGCGGGTGTGTGAGATGCGGGTGTGTGAGATGCAGGTGTGAGATGCAGGTGTGTGAGATGCAGGTGTGTGAGATGCTGCACGAGGGAGAACGTGCGGTATAGTTTCTGTGTCTGGCTTGCTTCGCGCAGCCTGACGTCTTGTAGGTGCATCACTTGTGCTGCAGACGACAGGATTTCATCCTCGAAGGTGGAACAGTTTTCCTTAAGCCCTCAAGGGAAGGCTCCTGCGCGCCTCTCCAGAAGCGTCCAGTCTAGGCCGTGACCAGTGCAGCCAGGGAACTGCTCACCCACTGAGACGGGCGGGTTTGGGGAGCTCACGGGTCCCCGTCCTGTATGTAGAGATACCATCATAATTTCTTGTGCACGTAGTCTGTGCACTTTAAACAAGTCCTGTTAGATGTCGAGCAAGAACAGAAGCCTCGCTCTGAGTTTGGTCTGAGTAAGCGTGAACCAGAAGTGTGGTAGGAGCCCGGAGACCTCCCTTTGCTGTCTGTACCTTGACTTTCCGGGCTACTGCCCCTCACAGAAGCCCGCGTCGTCCCCTTGCCCCTCCTGTTCTCACCCTTTCTCCTGTATGCTTGGGTACTATTATGCCCCTTTTATTTATTTATCTTTTTAAAGATTTTATTTATTTGAAAGACAGGTACAGAGAGAAGTAAAGCCAGAGAGAGAGAGAGAGAGAAAGAGAGAAAGGTCTTCCATCCATTGGTTCGCTCCCCAGATGGCCGCAACAGCCAGAGTTGAGCTGATCTGAAGCCAGGAGCTTCTTCAGGTCTCCCACACGGGTGCAGGGACTCAAGGACTTGGGCCATCCTCTACTGCTTTCCCAGGCCACAGCAGAGAGCTGGATCGGAAGCAGAGCAGCTTGGACATGAACCGACGCTCATATGGGATGCTGGCGCTGCAGGCCGCGGCTTTAACCCGCTGTGCCACAGCGCTGGCCCCACCCCTTTTAATTTTAAATCGTGATTAAAAGGCAATACCGGATTTGCCGTGTTAGCCATTTATAACTGTAGAGTCCCGAGGTGTTGAGGATGGTCACATTGTTGTGTAATTGATGCCCAGAGCCTTTGTACCCACTAGGCAGGGCCCCGTTTCTCCCGCCAACCCCCCCCAGCCCCGGCAACTCCGTTCCTGTCCATTTCTGTGGGTTTGCTTTATATAACCCTGATAAGCAGAATCATACAGTATTTGGGTTTGTGACTGGCTGGTTTCACTGAATGAAACACCCGTGTAATAGCATGTGGAGGGATTTTTAACATTTTTAAGTGGAATAATGTTCTGTTCTGTGTATATTCCATATTTTCTTTACCTGTTGGTCTGCCAGTGGACGTGTCCAGGTCTTGTGAATCGTTGTGTGGGTAACTTGGGTGTGCAAGTACCTGAGTCCTGCTTTCAGTTCTCTTGGGTATATGCCCAGACGTGGACTGCTGGATTATATTGAGTTCTGTTTTTAATTTTTGAGGGGCCTTCATCCTGTTCTCCATAGCAGCTGCGTCATTTTGAAATCACACCAGTAGTACACTAAGGTTTCATTTTTGCATATTCTTACCAACACTTGTTATTTTTGTCCTTTTTGTCTGATAATGGCCATTCTAATGGGTATGAGGAGCTCCACTATACACTCTTCAACTCCATTTTCCTATGTGGCCTTTTCTTTTTCTTTTTTTTAAAGATTTATTTATTTATTTGAAAGTCAGAGTTACGCAGAGAGAGGAGAGGCAAAGAGAGAGAGAGGTCTTCCATCCACTGGTTCACTCCCCAAATGACTGAAACTGCCAGAGCTGAGCTGATCTGAAGCCAGGAGCCAGGAGCTTCTTCCGGGTCTCCCACACGGGTGCAGGGACCCAAGGACTTGGGCCATCTTCTACTGCTTTCCCAGGCCAGAGCAGAGAGCTGGATTGGAAGTAGAGCAGCTGAGTCTTGAACCATCGCCCATATGGGATGCCGGCACTGCAGGGAGTGGCTTTACCACTGTGCCATAGCACTGGCCCCCCTCTGTGGCCTTTTCAATCTTTCATTCAGAGCTAAACTCATTCAATAGATTTTCCTCTCCTCCCTGCCTCCTCCTCGTGCCACGTTCCGTCAGTCTCCATTAGAAGGGTTTCTCCAGTTCTGCTCATCTGTGTCCTGGCCCACTCAGCCTTAGACACAGTCGACTCTCCTTCAGACAGTTATTTGCCTCGCATTTTGGCCTCACATTCCTGTTTTTCCTTTCCTGCTCCTGGCGGTCCTTTCCTGTTTGTCACCACTGCTGCCTGCTCGGTGTTAGAGGAGCAGTCTTGCCCAGGGGCCCCTTCTCAC